GCCCAGGCCGACGCATGTTCAAATCCTGCCGAAGAGCATATATTGTTCTCTAATAAGATTTGTCGGACATTCAGATCAGTAGACGAAAAATAAATAAATATACTGTTTATTAAATAAACGCATAGTCTACTGAAATATGAGTAGATACTAAGGATGAGGTTTGAAGAAATATATATAACTCGATGGGTGGAAAAACCTGGATAGTACAATTTTTTAATAAATTGGCATCCGAGAGAAAAAAAGAAAAAGAAAAAAGAAAAGGAATCAGAATGATCCGAACATGGCGAAAGAAATCGTCCAGTACCTTAAATTTCTGCTACAAAGAAAAAACAAACAAACAAAAAAGCAAGTAATAAGTTAAAACGAAGAATATGTTAAGTGTAGGAAACTTCATACTGATGATACCATGTGGTGAAACCTAGACAGGTAGTACCTGACTCATTAGGATTTATTTATTTTATATAGTGGAAAAGTGGTCAATATATGTGATAGGGTTAACATATTCAGTTGTATGGATATTAATTTATAACCCTGGGTGTCATGCTTTTGCAATCCAATGACCGCAAAAGCGTGAAACCCAGGGATACAATCTCATATCCATATAACTGAAAATATATATATATATATATATATATATGTGTGTGTGAAATTTAAGATGTAAAGTGAGCCATATGTTTTCATATATTAGTTGATATTAAAAATAGGATAGTAATAATATTTTTTATATATACAGAAAAATACTTAACTGTAATAATAATAATAATATATATATATATATATATATATATATATATATATATATATATATATATATATATATATATATATATATATATATATACACACAAGTAGAGGATTGGTGTATAAATTCCAATGAGCAAAAATACTAATCTTAAAAGAGCGCTCAATATAGAGTATAGCAAATATGATTTATTTGAAAATTCTAACATTAATATGTTATAAAATCACTATAAAAAATTGCCATTTTGTTTCAAAACTTCTGTGTCTTATCAAGGGATTATTTGATAAGACACTAAAAGTGTTGAACCAAAATGGCTATTTTTGTAGTGATTTTATAACATTTAGATTATGATTTTCAAATAAATTTATATATATATATATATATATATATATATATATATACACACACACACACACACACACACAAGGATAACTTAACTATAATTGTCCATATCAATCCTCGTTGTTAAGTCCCCGACTTCGCAGTTTCGGGGTACTGTGTCCACTTTTCAATGTAGGCTATCCGTATATATTGGAAATATTTAATATACGGATTAACCTCTTCAAAAGTGGACACAGCAACACGAAACCCCAGAGACGGGGACATAACAACGTCGATGGACATGGACAATTATAATTAAGTAATGTGTGTGTGTGTGCGTACATATGTATATATAAGCAACGGTAAAGAAATGTAAAGTTAGGGAGTGTCAACTGTTAACCTGAACTGGATACAATGGGAATCGAACTCACTCTCTTAAGCATTTCGGTTTTCCATGTAAAATTGCTAGCGATCGTGCTATGGTCTGTGACCTCTGCCAACCCGAACTCCGACATGCTAATGAAGAGGTGCGCTCAGTGAGATTCGAACTCACGACACGAGACTAGAATTCTAGAACAGCTACTCAATAACATGGCAGTCAGTTTATTTCTTCCTCAGATATTGTCAAATCTAAGATGTGGCTGTGTCGTCCGACCTTCTTTTTTTTTTCAGCATGCCCCCACCTCACACATTCACCGAGGTGTGTGCGGACACAAATTTCAAATAAATAAATCCCCATAGATACGGAACATTTTAAGCGTACAAATTTTGCCCTTTAAAAGAATGGAGCAACACATTCTTTCTATTAACAACATGTCATTTGTTCATTTAACGGATAGAAAGCTGCGTTGAATAAACTAAATTTACTCAGATACGCTCAACCAAATTTTTATATATATATATATATATATATATATATATATATATATAAAGGACAAATAAGAATCAAATTTAGCATGTTTCGCTTTCTATATAAACTTCATCACAAATGTTTGGAAATGGTGAACATTGGTTAAATGCGAAACGTTAAATTTATAAACCTTTTGAATTTTTTCCTTATTCTATCATATTTAACTCACACGCACTATATATATATATATATATATATATATATATATATATATATATATATTAGGCGAGTGAAATATGGAAAGAATGCTTTACCATTACAGGTAACATTTATCGACAGTTTGTTCGCATCTATGTACCTACGTATATAGGTTCATATCTATCATAGCATGGTCATATCTTCGTTTGAAGATTACACCGAGGAGTGAAAATGACAGTATGCAAAATTGATTACTACCTAGATCTAACCATCTAAGATACCTATTTAAAATTTGCTGTGTTCACGATTGGAAAGCATGCAGGTATAACACCTTGATGGTCACTTCGATGTGGTGTAGCGGTCAAGCAACCTTGTCTCGAGAGATCAATTATGAGGCTGATCCTAACACAGTGTGTTTCATACTTTCGTCTTTTTGTCGCGTCAAAACCAGCCGTAGTAAAAATCACCATAAAACCTTGATCTACAGTGTTGATACACACACACACACACACACATATATATTTATATATATGAGGAGAAGGACAGAAAGAAATGCTGATATGTGTAGACAATTAAGACCATCAAAATACTAGCCACCTGACGTAGAAATTGTGTTAGAAATTTAATTATTTACCAGTTTATAATTAATATAAATTATCTAATTATGATGAATTTAGACCTTACATCAAATATTTATTCAAATTCTTATAGAAAAGATATTAAAAAAAAAGCCTTGGCATTTTGAATTATTAGAGCATGCACACACGCATGCAGGATATTGTATTGTCGACATAGATCCATCAATAAACAGACGTGTGTTGGCTTGTGTGAAAGGCATGCACCGAAAGATATGAACAAAGAAAAAGCCAAGTAACAGCAACAAAGTGTCTGAGAGGGAAGCAGTTGGGGGTTTTATGGAGAGAGAGAGAGAGAGAATCTTTTTTGAAAATCGATTGCCAAGTAAAACTGTACGGTGACAACGTTAAACAAACGGGCACAAAAGTGTGTGTGTGTGTGTGTGGTCCTTTTATCCGGTGTCTTTGCCTTCTATGTTGCTATTAGCGTCGTAGATGGAGACAGGCAGCGGTCAGGCGACAGACGATAACACAGGCGAAGCATATGCAATTCCATCATCTCACTGTCTCTCTCTCTCTCTCTAATACGTACGCTCTCTATCTTTTTTCATTTTTAATATCTAGCTGTTCACTAAGAACACACACACTATATATATATGTGCATATATATATATATATCGCACAGAGAATGCGATGGGTAAATTGTCGCCATTATATATATATATTTTTTTATTTCGATGTTTGTTTTTGTTGACTACACAGTATAATAGAGTCAGTTCAGCGCCGTCTGTGGGGGGGGAAGCACCATGACGCAATTCACTCCGCCAGGAATTCGGAAACGGCATGCTACACTACTTGGCATTCGCGCCGGAAGCTCTAATACGAACATTTCAGAGTGTTTGGGTGTCAATCTGAAATCCGTGCTGACGATTTGGAAAAAGTTGGATGAGTCTAATGGTGATTACGAAGGTGTTTGGAGTGATCACTAACGATGGCGACGTTATGCCTCCATTCATCTTCCCACAGGACCTCAGACTCTACAGCAAGTGCCTCGAGGAGGTACTGCTACCCTAGGTCAAGAGGATGACTGTTGGAAGACCCTATGTCTGGCAACAGGCCTCTGCACCATGCCACACAAAGAGAAGAACACAGTCATGATTGTCAGACAATTTCTCCGACGACATCACCCCTTACATCTGTCCACCTAACTCCCCAGACTGCAACCCCCTTGATTATTATGTGTGGGGTGCAGTTGTGAGAGACCAACAAAACTCCTTGTAACACCAAAGATGAACTGAAGGCAAAGATTATGGCAGTATTCACCCACTTAAACAAGGAGACCGTCTAGAAGAGTTGTAGGAGATTCCTAAGTCGTATCGAGGCCGTGGTTGAAGCTAATGGAGATTTTATTGAATAAAATTACACTTTACCAGCGCTAGTGATCACTTCAAACACACTCGTAATCACCATTAGACTCATCCAACTTTTTTCAAATCGTCAGCACGGATTTCAGAGTGACACCCAGAAATAATCGTATTGGAGCTGGCGGTGCGAATGCCAAGCAGTGTAGCATGCCGTTTCCGAATTTCTGGCGGAGTGAATTACGTCATGGTGCTTCCCCCCCCCAACGGACGGTGCTGAACTGACCCTACTATACTGTGCCGTCAACAAAATAAATAAAAATAGAAATAACGCGCATGCGCGAAATTTTAAAAAAAAAAAAAAATTGCGACAATTTACTCATCGCACCCTCTGTGTTCATTATATATATAAGGTATTTTTGTGTAATTTTGGTGAATATGTCCGTTAAAGTGAGATGTCAGTATTTTCATTTTTGTGAAATGTAGACGACAATTTATGCATCGCACCCTCTGTGTGTATATATATATATATATATATATATATATATATATAGTGTGTATGCAGTTCCCTCATCTCTCTCTTTCTCAATGTTTTTCATTCATATCTATCCCAGTCTGTCCATTATCTAGCTATCTGTCAACATGTTCATGTCTGTCTGTTTATTGACAGGTATACAGACTCCTTAAAGAGATGGCTGTATCTCTGGATCTATATTGAAGCCGGGTTGTGTGTACTTAAGCGAGAAGGAACAAATAGATGCCGTCATTCGTCTCTCGGCTCGCACACACGCACACAAACGAATATTGACTTTCCTTCTGCTGCGCTCTGTAGTTTAGTCGCAAAAGCAACTGCAATTGAGTTCAATCCTTTCCCGGGCATTCTCTCCTAATTGTAATTTTATGTAAAATTGATCAAAGCCGAGTAAATTTCTGTATTTATGTCTATTGCGTGAATGTGGAATCAGACTGTGTTAGAAGGAACATGCACTCATCTACAGTTGTCCCTATCTAACTCTGCCTGTCTCTCTATCACTGTTCCTATGTATGTCTCTCTATCGCTATCTATTTATCTATCTCTATCTGTGTCTATTTATCTATCTATCTCTGTATCTATCTATCCATGTGTGTGTCTCACTATCTATCTGTCTGTCCCTGTGTGCGTCTCTCTCTATCTGTCTGTCCCTGTGTGCGTCTCTCTCTCTCTCTATCTGTCTCTATGTGTGTCTCTCTCTATCTATCTATCTGTCTCTATGTGTGTCTCGCTATCTATCTATCCATGTGTGCGTCTCTATCTGTCTGTCCCTGTGTGCGTCTCTCTCTCTCTATCTGTCTCTGTGTCTCTCTCTATCTATCTATCTGTCTGTGTGTCTCTCTCTATCTATCTATCTGTCTGTGTGTCTCTCTCTATCTGTCTCTATGTGTGTCTCTCTCTATCTATCTGTCTATGTGTGTCTATCTGTCTATGTGTGTCTCTCTCTATCTATCTATGTGTGTCTATCTGTCTATGTGTGTCTCTCTCTATCTGTCTATGTGTGTCTATCTGTCTATGTGTGTCTCTCTCTATCTATCTGTCTATGTGTGTCTATCTGTCTATGTGTGTCTCTCTCTATCTATCTGTCTATGTGTGTCTCTCTGTGTCTATCTGTCTATGTGTGTCTCTCTCTATCTATCTCTATGTGTGTCTCTCTCTATCTATCTATCTCTCTCTATGTGTCTCTCTCTCTATCTATCTGTCTCTATGTGTGTCTCACTATCTATCCATGTGTGCGTCTCTCTATCTGTCTGTCCCTGTGTGTCTCTCTCTATCTGTCTCTGTGTGTCTCTCTATCGCTCTCTGTGTCTCTCTCTATCTATCTGTCTGTGTGTGTCTCTCTCTATCTGTCTATGTGTGTCTCTCTCTGTCTCTATGTGTGTCTCTCTCTATCTGTGTGTGTCTCTCTCTATCTGTCTCTATGTGTGTCTCTCTCTATCTGTCTCTATGTGTGTCTCTATCTGTCTATGTGTGTCTATCTGTCTATGTGTGTCTCTCTCTATCTGTCTCTATGTGTGTCTCTCTCTCTCTATCTATCTGTCTATGTGTGTCTCTCTCTCTCTGTCTCTATGTGTGTCTCTATCTAGCTATCTATCTGAGTGTCTCTCTCTATCTATCTGTCTATGTGTCTCTCTCTCTATCTATCTATCTGTCTATGTGTGTCTCTCTCTATCTATCTATCTATCTGTCTATGTGTGTCTCTCTCTATCTGTCTCTATGTGTGTGTCTCTCTCTATCTATCTATCTGTCTCTATGTGTGTCTCTCTCTATCTATCTATCTGTCTCTATGTGTGTCTCTCTCTATCTATTTATCTCTGTGTGTGTCTCTATCTATCTATCTATCTATCTATCTATCTCTGTGTGTGTCTCTATCTATCTATCTATCTCTGTGTGTGTCTCTCTCTATCTGTCTCTGTGTGTGTCTCCCTCTCTCTATGTCTCTCCATCTATCTATTGTCCTTGTTAACAGCTGATATATTTTTTTTTTACATCCGCTGTCATTTTGACATTATCGAACCTATCGGACTTAATATTTATGTGCATGTAATGTATCTGTATGCGCATATGTGTCTGTGTACACGGACACATGGCCGATTGGTTAAAACTCGATAAAATCGAGCTGAAGAGACGATTCCAACGCGCAGCTTTTTTGGAAAGTGTTTGAAAATCATACCCCACGGGTTCACTCAAGCCGTATTATTTAAATTGGATGGATGTAACTGTTCGTAAGCTGTTGATGGTTGTGCTGGCATGAAGTCTAAAGTCATCGTGACTGATGATTCAAGCATACTGTCATTGTTCAAACTGCTAATCACACAATATTATTCTCTCTCTCCTAGGAACTATAACTAATGTCCGTTCAGAGTTTCTCTCTCTCTCTCTCACACACTCACTCACTCACAGGTAACGTTACGAAATGAATCCCTGTTACTTCTTTCCAACAGTTACCAGGATCACAATAACCCCATCGGATGGAGCAAGTTTTCAACGACAAGTTCCTTTTTTCTTTCACTTATAGTCACCATGTTTGAGTATGCATTTGACCAGTGATAAGAGATTTCATTTTGACAGCCGCCAGGAACGTACATTGTTATACCTAATTGCTAAAGCCACTGCTAAAATGCCATATCAACTACTTCACTGTGCTTGTATCCGTAGTTTGGTCTCCGTAAACATTCAGCAAATGTCGATGAATATCAATTGGTGCAATTTTTTTTCTTAGTAACAGAATATATCGTACGTGATTTTGGCAGACTCTCGCTCAACATTACTTTGTAACATGACATAAAAAGTATTGCTTCCAGTTTTATTTGTTTATGCGAAAAAAATTCAAGCCAAATTTACGAATATTACTGTGTTTATTATCGAAATCACCAAAAGAAAAAAATTCAATGTATGGTTGTTAGCAAAAGGTGTAGTGCAAGATGCGAGATACAAATTGGAAACGGCAAAATCAAGCCAGTATAGAAGTTTAACTTTATTTTATTTTATTTTTTTTTAAGCATTTCACTCCAAGCAAGGCGGGAGTGCCAGTAGCACACAAGGGGTTACAGAGTGCGAAAATGAGGGAAAAGAATGTGTATAGAGAGGAATAAGGAAATGGTAAAAGAAGGACGGGGATCAAGGCAACAGAAGGATTGTAGTTATCAGAGAAACAAGTAAGAGGAAGAGAGTTTCACTGTCGGGAAGCGCGAGAAAAGAAACTATGTAAGAGGGTGAGACCTAAATGCCTATCCAATAGCACGCTTAAATTCATGCAGTCGGGGTATCAGGGAAGATAACTCATCAGAACAGTTGCCAATATTTGTAGAAAAGACAGAGGGAAGCCAAACCACGTCTATGAGAAAGTGACCGAAATCGAGATGCCAAGTCAGGACCGATTATATTGCAGATCCTTCTTTGGATTTTGAACAGGAGGGGCAACAGACACGATATGGCAGCAATATTCAATGCATGGACGAATGGTAGATTTGCAGATGTGCAATATGGCCTCTGACTAAAAAACATTCTGTCACAGTGAACCGACTTTCCTTGCAGAAGATGCAGCCATTGATTCAATGTAGTTGTTTTAACTACCCGAGAAGTGTTTATAACAGACGATGGAAAATGTGACACCGAAATCCGAAGGTGCATTGGAATAGTGAAAGATGCCTTCGAAAAGTTAAGCAAAGTATTAAGAAATAGGAAAATTCAAGAGACAAAATAAGTTCTAAACTGCTATGTAATATCAATTCTTCTATATAGTAGTGAATGCTGGACAATTTCTTCACAGATGAAGAGGAAACGAGGCGACAGAGACGTGGTTTTACAGAAGGATGCTGAGAAATTCATTGAAATGTAAGCAAAGAGAATATTACAAGGATGATCAAAAACAGAATGGCACTTAGAATCTGATAACAGAAAGTGTTGTTCCGATAGATAACTAAATATTGAATATCGACAAGTCTATTCATTATGAGAAGAACGTTAGGCTCATAAGAGCAGGGTCGGAAAGTAGGTTGCAAGGCGTAGAGTTGAGATGTACGCATTGCTGCACTGAACTAAGATATTCGCTATTATTGTATTATTAATCCATCTTTTGTGATTAAACCTTTTCCTCACTAATCCTTTTTTACAGTGTTTCCTGATAATATTATTAACCAGAAACTACAGGCTTATACGAGAATTCTAAGATAGAGTTGTTTGTGTGTGTGTGTGAGTGGGGAGGTTAACTCAGAAAGACGGTCTGGAGAATTGGACACTCACAGGATGTATTAAAGGCAATAGGAGTCGAGCAAAACGAGCTTGAGTTAACGGGCCTGAGTTAATGGCCAGAGTGTGGATGGGGATAGTAGGGGGATAAATATTGCTTAATCCCTACAGAAGATAGAAAGCTGTGGCGACCCATTATCACGAAAAAATCGAATCCAAGTTTTAAAATTGATGCACGAATCTTTTCGCCTTGCAAGCTACAATCTAGTATTATAAAATTCCTGAGTAGAGATATAAATATGTGCTGGGCTATATAGGTGCAAGTGTGTACGTACTGGTCATCATGAAAGGCTCAAACGACATAGAATTCTATCAGAATTGGTTAGTGTTGAGAAGAACGGAGAGGGGGGAAAAGGACAGAGAGAGGGGGGAAAAGGACAGAGAGAGGGGGGAAAGACAGAGAGAGAGGGAAAAGAGAGAGAGAGAGGGAAAAGAGAGAGAGAGGGAAAAGTGAGAGAGAGGGAAAAGTGAGAGAGAGGGGAAGAGAGAGAGAGGGGAAGAGAGAGAGAGGGGAAGAGAGAGAGAGGGGAAGAGAGAGAGAGGGGAAGAGAGAGAGAGGGGGGGATAAAGACAGATGGATGGGAAAAGAAAAGAAAGATAAGAGAGAAAGAAGAGAGAGAGAGAAAAATAGTGAAAGGAGAGAGAGAGAGAGAGAAAAAAAAAGAGGAAAAAAGTAGCGGAGGCGGAGGATAATTGATATTTCGATGTGAAATTGAGAAGTGAAAAGTAAAACCAAACGGACAACAGGTATGAACAGGCTAAGTTTACATGGATACGAAATTCAATAAAATAACCGTCCCTCTACTATCGCCATATTGCTAGTCTACGTAGCCCCCCCCCTCTTTAGCAGGCATAGTCGCGTGTATAAGTGTGTGGACAAGCACTTTTTCATCTGCCTGTATGGGATCAATATAAAAAAAAAGTATGCACATCTTGTACGCTGTTTGAATGCGGCATCCTTAGTGGGCGAGATCAGGACATAAAAACTAATGATCGGTGTTTACGTCAAAATAAAAGCTAAGATTTTGAAAATTGGTTTTCTAGGCCAGCTGGGCCATTCAGGTTAGGAGATTGGAGAGTGCTAATCTTTCTGTACTAAATTAAGCTTATTAGATAACATGGTTTCAAGAGTAGATTATTTTCTATTGCTACTAGAATGCAGTTTCAAGCCCAGGCATAACTAATGATACTGAACACTAATTTTCTAGAAAGGCCTTTCAAAATTAGATCTTTGCCTGCCGTAACAGTATTCCGGTCCTTAATTTTGCTCCTTTTCATTTTTCTCTTAGCAAATATCAGAATGCAGCTCAAGTCTCAGGAACAGTAGTGAAGAAGATATGCATCTTGGAATACTTAAATCTGCAAGCCTCAATTTGCATACTTCTATAATGACTTGAACCCAATCTTTCCTCAACTCTCTTTCAGTGACTCTTGCTCCTAGGGTAGAAAAAAAATGATCAGTCATCGAGTATTGTCCTACGCAAACATTCACTATGATACGGTATCTAGCCACCCCCCGACGAGGGTTGCATGTGGCACAAGGCCGAGTTTATCGTGGGTTTCCCGAGCCCGTAGGCTCAGCCAAAAAAATGCCAGTATAACCCGTATAAACGAGATCGGGTTGGTCATTTTCCCCGAACGAGATTCTGCCCTTCGGCGGAACCTCGTCCGGGTTCCTTTCTGCTCAAAAGCAGAGATTTCGACCGTCAAGTCGAAAAGATCGGCTTGATTCGACAATGATACGATTTCAAAGAATGTCAGAATCTCTTAAAAATAAAAAATAAAAAAACGGAAACAAAAATTGCGGACCATTGTTTTAAATTCATACCTAAACTCTCATTTCCGAGTACACACGTCTGCTAGGCCGGCTAGATAATCCCTGTTACAGAAATCGACTCAGTCATATTTGAACAGAGTCAATTATTTAAAACTTAAAGAGTGTACGGGCCGGTAGACGTAATACTGTTTAAGATTAAAAAAAAGGGGCAAATACTTCAAGCACAGGCACCCGCTAAAATACGTTTGAATAAATAAATATTAATAACAAATCCACAGACACACGTTTTTTATATATATATATATATATATATATATATATATATATATATATATATATATATATATAGAGAGAGAGAGAGAGAGAGAGAGAGGCACGGTGGAGTAATGGATAGCGGCTTGGTTTGAGGAATCGCAGAGCCGAGTTCCAGTCGAATCCATTACATTCACTTACGTGCTAATACCCTTAGGAAAGGTATGAATCCTCTTCCTCTCCCTCCAGCTATGGGTAAAATAGCAGGACAGACTGGGTTCTATAGCCTTGGATGGCAACTGGTCTAGGAGAAGGACAACTCTGAATTCAAAACCTGTGGAGGGTCGTTTGGGAATCTTGTGGCACTTAGTGCACCAGGTCTCTGTATTCGTCCCTTCAAAAAGTGTGGATGGTCCTGCACGAAGCCTTCACCACTATAATCAAATCTCATGTGCCGGTGTCGGGCTGTCGATTTCCTGGAAACTGATCTGCTTGACCCTCATACGTCGAATCTCGACGGGAGAGTCGATTATATATGACAGAGAGAGAGAGAGAGAGACCCAGAAGTTTCTTTACGGCAATAAAATTTCAGATAAAGTTTTACATTTCAGCTCAGGTATATCGTAGCTTTCGTTTACTTTTTTAATTCACGTATTTTAATTAATTTATTTAATTTTTATTTTATA